TAGAGACTGCTACTGACAGGTGTGCCATAGAGAATGATAGTGGCAGGTGTACCATAAAGAATGCTACTGACAGGTGTGCCATAGAGAATGCTACTGACAGGTGTACCATAGAGAATGTTACTGACAGGTGTACCATAGAGAATGCTCCTGACAGGTGTACCATAGAGAATGATACTGACAGGTGTACCATAGAGAATGATACTGACAGGTGTACCATAGAGAATGCTACTGACAGGTGTACCATAGAGAATGCTCCTGACAGGTGTACCATAGAGAATGATACTGACAGGTGTACCATAGAGAATGATACTGACAGGTGTACCATAGAGAATGCTACTGACAGGTGTACCATAGAGAATGATACTGACAGGTGTACCATAGAGAATGATACTGACAGGTGTACCATAGAGAATGCTACTGACAGGTGTACCATAGAGAATGCTATTGACAGGTGTACCATAGAGAATGCTACTGACAGGTGTACCATAGAGAATGCTATTGACAGGTGTACCATAGAGAATGATACTGACAGGTGTACCATAGAGAATGCTACTGACAGGTGTACCATAGAGAATGCTATTGACAGGTGTACCATAGAGAATGCTACTGACAGGTGTACCATAGAGAATGCTACTGACAGGTGTACCATAGAGAATGATACTGACAGGTGTACCATAGAGAATGCTACTGACAGGTGTGCCATAGAGAATGCTACTGACAGGTGTACCATAGAGAATGCTACTGACAGGTGTACCATAGAGAATGATACTGACAGGTGTACCATAGAGAATGATACTGACAGGTGTACCATAGAGAATGCTACTGACAGGTGTACCATAGAGAATGCTATTGACAGGTGTACCATAGAGAATGATAGTGACAGGTGTACCATAGAGAATGCTATTGACAGGTGTGCCATAGAGAATGCTACTGACAAGTGTGTCATAGAGACTGCTACTGACAGGTGTGCCATAGAGAATGATAGTGACAGGTGTACCATAGAGAATGCTACTGACAGGTGTACCATAGAGAATGCTATTGACAGGTGTACCATAGAGAATGCTACTGACAAGTGTGCCATAGAGACTGCTACTGACAGGTGTGCCATAGAGAATGATAGTGACAGGTGTACCATAGAGAATGCTACTGACAGGTGTGCCATAGAGAATGCTACTGACAGGTGTACCACAGAGACTGCTACTGACAGGTGTACCATAGAGAATGCTACTGACAGGTGTACCATAGAGAATGCTACTGACAGGTGTACCATAGAGACTGCTACTGACAGGTGTACCATAGAGAATGCTACTGACAGGTGTACCATAGAGAATGCTACTGACAGGTGTACCATAGATAATGCTACTGACAGGTGTACCATAGAGACTGCTACTGACAGGTGTGCCATAGAGAATGATAGTGACAGGTGTACCATAGAGAATGCTACTGACAGGTGTGCCATAGAGAATGCTACTGACAGGTGTACCATAGAGACTGCTACTGACAGGTGTACCATAGAGAATGCTACTGACAGGTGTACCATAGAGAATGCTACTGACAGGTGTACCATAGAGAATGCTACTGACAGGTGTACCATAGATAATGCTACTGACAGGTGTACCATAGAGAATGCTACTGACAGGTGTACCATAGAGAATGATACTGACAGGTGTACCATAGAGAATGCTACTGACAGGTGTGTCATAGAGAATGTTACTGACAGGTGTACCATAGAGAATGTTACTGACAGGTGTACCATAGAGAATGCTCCTGACAGGTGTACCATAGAGAATGATACTGACAGGTGTACCATAGAGAATGATACTGACAGGTGTACCATAGAGAATGCTACTGACAGGTGTACCATAGAGAATGCTATTGACAGGTGTACCATAGAGAATGCTACTGACAGGTGTACCATAGAGAATGCTATTGACAGGTGTACCATAGAGAATGCTACTGACAAGTGTGTCATAGAGACTGCTACTGACAGGTGTGCCATAGAGAATGATAGTGACAGGTGTACCATAGAGAATGCTACTGACAGGTGTACCATAGAGAATGATACTGACAGGTGTACCATAGAGAATGCTATTGACAGATGTACCATGGAGAATGATACTGACAGGTGTGCCATAGAGAATGCTACTGACAGGTGTACCATAGAGAATGTTATTGACAGGTGTACCATAGAGAATGCTATTGACAGGTGTACCATAGAGAATGCTACTGACAAGTTTGCCATAGAGACTGCTACTGACAGGTGTGCCATAGAGAATGATAGTGACAGGTGTACCATAAAGAATGCTACTGACAGGTGTGCCATAGAGAATGCTACTGGCAGGTGTACCATAGAGAATGCTACTGACAGGTGTACCATAGAGAATGATACTGACAGGTGTACCATAGATAATGCTACTGACAGGTGTACCATAGAGAATGCTACTGACAGGTGTACCATAGAGAATGCTATTGACAGGTGTACCATAGAGAATGCTAGTGACAGGTGTACCATAGAGAATGCTACTGACAGGTGTACCATAGAGAATGATACTGACAGGTGTACCATAGAGAATGCTACTGACAGGTGTACCATAGAGAATGCTACTGACAGGTGTACAAATAGATAATGCTACTGACAGGTGTACCATAGAGAATGCTACTGACAGGTGTACCATAGATAATGCTACTGACAGGTGTACCATAGAGACTGCTACTGACAGGTGTACCATAGAGAATGATACTGACAGGTGTACCATAGAGAATGCTACTGACAGGTGTACCATAGAGAATGCTACTGACAGGTGTACCATAGATAATGCTACTGACAGGTGTACCATAGTGAATGCTACTGGCAGGTGTACCATAGAGAATGCTACTGACAGGTGTACCATAGAGAATGCTACTGACAGGTGTACCATAGAGAATGCTACTGACAGGTGTACCATAGAGAATGCTATTGACAGGTGTACCATAGAGAATGCTACTGACAAGTGTGCCATAGAGACTGCTACTGACAGGTGTGCCATAGAGAATGATAGTGACAGGTGTACCATAGAGAATGCTACTGACAGGTGTGCCATAGAGAATGCTACTGACAGGTGTACCACAGAGACTGCTACTGACAGGTGTACCATAGAGAATGCTACTGACAGGTGTACCATAGAGAATGCTACTGACAGGTGTACCATAGAGACTGCTACTGACAGGTGTACCATAGAGAATGCTACTGACAGGTGTACCATAGAGAATGCTACTGACAGGTGT